GTATGTATGTATGTATATATATATATATATATATATATATATATATAAAACACTTAAAATTCCTACATACAGTATATCCAGGTTTTTCATGACCGTGGGAAACCTGGTTCTTAAATAAAATAAGCTAAAACGGCTAAAAATAAAGATGTAAGCTGACATCATTTTTTTTTAATAATTCTATATCATTTTGACAGTTACCCTTGGTAGTGTACTGAGACCCTCTAATGGGCCCTGGCAATGATGTATAGCACACAAATATACTGTAAAAAATTTGTAAAAAATTTTTACTTTAATTTATTTTCAGTACTGAGAAGTATCATTTAAGTACATTTATACTCAACGTTTCTCTCAACTCTTGTCCAGCATTTTGAAAGAAAGCTTAGCTCTTTGCAAGCTATTCTAGGGTTGCCTTATCAGATTGTGATGCTGTTTTGTCCAAATTAGGTTATCTTAGAAGTTTGCGTACTGTCGCTGCCACGTGTTGCCTTTAATGCTTGGTAGCTCACCAGTTTTTGAACCAGAGCTAACATATGAACGCAGGTCAGATTGAAAAATTTTAATCTCACCCCTAAAATTACAAGCTATAACTGAGACATGATCACTAAAATGCTGTTTATTTCTCCTTGGCCCAGTCAAATCTAAAAAGTGACAGCCTCATTCTGCTTCTCATGGGAGAAAACAAATATCTGCTACACTTGTATCTCAGCTACTGCTTCAAACAGACCACACAGCTATGCACATCATCCATGTCCACAGACTCACCCGTTCTGAATGACGAGGCACTGCCGCAGGCCGAGCTTGCGGAAGATGTCCACTACGATTTCCATGGGCGTGTGCACAGTGACCGTAAAGGGGCTGAGGTCTAAGATGCTGTGCAGTTTGACTGCAGGAGGTGCACTGGGTGACATGGGTGGATCACATTCAGTGAACAGGATGGGAGACATGCTGACCACACCCTCCTGATTCCGCCGGGCATTTTCTAAGATGATGGAGTGGGGAAAAAACAGGGAAGTTAGCTGGATAAACTCAACACTAATGCATCAGTTACAACAAGGGTTAATTAGCAAAACTTCTGTGGCAGCCCATGGACCGTTCAGAAACCATCATATTGCACACAAAACTGGCTGAAATCACTGCTTCCAATCTGATTGGCTGGCCGCTCTAAAACGTCTTGGATTCAGTGTACACCAGTTTTTAATCAGTCATCCAGGAAACAAAGTTGCACTTACAAGGCGCCAGGCTGACAAAATCTCTGTGGTATCAACTCTTTGACTGATAATCAAGGGTTTGGTTTGAGACATTTAGTAGCAAGAAAAGAAGATACCCTCAGGCACAACTTGATTTCCCTAAATATCAGAAAAAAGAAAAGAAAACTACTTTGAGACTGTGGTCGGTTGCATCAGTAAGTTGGCTGGTTTGTAAGACTCTGACAGTCAAACCGATGTCATGATGACCTGCAAGTAATTTCTACAGAAACAAAGAGCAATATATGGCCTAGAAATAATGTAAGAGTAGGTTTAAATTTTATTCTGTTTTTTTTTGTTTTTTTTAAATCATACTTAACCCAGACTTTTGAAAGATACTGTATCACGGTTTCCACAAAAAATATTAAGCAGCACAATGGTTTTCGACATTGATAATAGAAATAAATGTTTATTGGGCAGCCAATCAGCATATTCAAATGCATTCCTGAATGTTAAACTAAAGACCGGACTGAATTAATTTCTCAATATTACAGTTTTAAAATAAATTCAGTCTTGGTGGCCATAAGAGTCTTATTTTAACCTCATAAATATATTGAATTATTTTTTAACAAAAAATAAATAAATAAAAATAATACTAATCATATGTATAAGTCTCTTCTGCCCACCAAGGCTACTGCATTTATTTGATATATA